AGCAGCTTCCTCAGGGAGGAGATACCACGGTTTCTGTCCTCTCTCTGATCCCATATCCTCAACTTGTAGCAAGCTGAAATGTCCCCCCTGCATTTAATAAACTAAGATAAACATTGCCCTTAAGCTCTGCAGTTATTAAAGGTGGGAAGAGAGAGGCAGATGCACACAGCAGCTTCCCTCAGGACCTCGGGCTAAAGATAACTAAACCATAAACCCTCGCCCCTCAATGTTCTCTTGATTTCCCAGGTGCCCAGGCTGGAAGAGTGAAGCAAAACTCATGGTGCACAGGAGCTATGAATGTAGTTACTTTAGGAGTTTTCCTGCATATGACACGCTCTGTGCCGTGACAGGAGCTTGGGGACAGCCACATCTCCCTGGCACTTCCCTAACTTGCAGTTTTGAAACGGGAACGTGGGTCAAAAGCAACCCCCTTAATTAAACCCAAACCCTAATCCTCCCTCTAACATCTCTTAAAAGGGAAAAGGTTACATAAAAGACTTAAAAAGCAGACTTTTATATTTAGAAGGTCTTTTACATCTTTCTTTCAATCACGAAGTTTGGAAGGTGCCTCCCCTCCTAACCCAGGACACCTGGGACCATTTGGAGCCTATTCATTGTAAGTACAGATTAAAGCACAGCTGTGCTCTGAATCTCTCACGTAAGAGGTGTCAGGGTTGGTAGCTATTTCAGGATGGGCTTTTTCTTCCTGATGACAACCTTCAGGCCCTAAATATTCATATAGGTTCCAATTCAGCTTTGGAGTTGGTGGGAGGTGGGTGCTTGAGTGGGAACAAAGCACCTAATGGGCTTTGTGGAACTGGGTCCCAGCCAGGATGCGGTCATGGTCCTTGGAGGTGCTTTACTGCAGAGCAGTCACGCAGAGCTGAACCCCAAGCTTCTGAGAGTTGGCAAGGCTGGAAGAGCTCCCATGTAAAACCAGGTTAGTTTTATTGCTCTAAAGATTTATACTGTGAAGAGCAAAGCCCTGGTTTGGAGATGCTGGTAGTGCTCCCAATAAAACCAGGTTAGTTTTATTGCTCTAAAGATGTGTGTTCTGAAGAGCAAAGCCCTGGTCTGGAGAAACTGGATGGGGGTTACTGATGGGAAGCCTTCCAAGTCAATCCACATCCCTGAGGGTCACCTCAAGGAGTTCATGGTGGCCTAAAGGTGGAGGGACACGGTCCTGGAGCCACCTTGTCTCAAGGAATGAGGTATAAGGGCACAGAGGTGGTAGCAATTGGAGTCGCCCAAGCTTGTGGTCCTTGTGGGTGCAGGAGGAGGCAGCAAACCCAGGAGGGCAGGAGGAAGAATGTGAGTGCTGAAGACACGAGGAATGACTGAGAGAGCTGGATTTATGGAGTCTGGGAAAAGGAAGGCTCAGGGGCAACATGGTCACAGGCTAAGAATACCTTCAAGGTAACACCATAAATGAAGAGAGGGAATTGTGCGTGGTCTCGAAGGAGGCTGAGCAAGAGGCAGAGCTGGTGGTAACGAAGGAACCCTGTGGTGTAGAGATGGGGAAGGAGACCTGATCCATGGGGATTTTGCCAGGGGAAGGGTCTGTGGAAGGGTGAGCAGTGCAGAAGCAAAGTGGTCACAGGTTGATGGGGGAAATGGGGTGGATGCTGGCCTTTGTGTGGCCAAAGGGCTTGTTTTCAGCTCAATGGGTGCTCTGGGTGTAAAGCTGTTTAACTCCGCAGAATTCACCCTGGTTTTGCTTTTTCCCCCTTGCTTCTCTTTCCACCTGCCCAGTCAAGCAGTTCTCCATAGACAAAGTTAATATTCAGACTTCAGTAACTTTAATCAGTTTTAGAGAGGAGAAACAAACTTACTAGTAGAGAAGGGGATGCATGCGTTTTCCTTTGGGGTTAATTCAGTGTAACTTGGGGAGATTGTTGTGGGCTCAAACCTTAATGCTGGAGAAAGCATCACTTCCAGGTTGAGTTTATGGAGCCAATCTCTCTTGGGTCAGGGCTCTTGGTTTCAAGACCAAAAATGGTTTGGTACATGTTGGAAAGAGTCCCTGGTAGCCAAGCAATGAATGCACATCTCTGATCAATGAGGGTCTTTTTGCTACTCAGGGAAGAGAAAGAGGATGGGGAGGTGAGGGGTGGCTGAAGCAGAGGAGGGAGATGGGTGGGCAGGATATGGGGCTGTTCATGCCTTTCCACTTGGCAGGTTAGTCTTGCTGGGATGGTGTAACCTCGTGTACAAGGGGAGGCAAACCCACCTGCTTCAGGCTTTGAAAAGAGCTCCGGGAGAAAGCTGGGAGTGATAAACCCCAAGCTTGGGTAGCGCAGTTCACACAAACCAGCTGGCTGGGCATGGAGGAAGGGCTCTGGTTCAGTGCTTCAAACAGAAATCCATCCCCTGCAGTCATCCCCTTCACACCAGTCATTTCTTACTACAGCTCACAAGCTGCCAAGGGACAGAGCCTGGACTTGCTGTATCTTAACAGAGCTTGATAGATTTCATCTTACCTTCAGGGTCTAAGCTATCTGCCATGGTGCTTGTGTTTTAAAACCATCAGTGGTGCTGAAAGCAAAGAACTGACTCAGTAATTCTGGTTTGCAGAGGCATAATGTCCTTGGATCGGATAAAAGCACCTTGCCAGTATTGCTTTTATATACTTCATTAATTCCCAGCCTGTTGGTGGCTGTGCCTTTTCTTCTGCACCCAGCAGAAGCAGCAACACAACCAGCTTCATCTTTGAAACACCTCCATGGAATACTGTCTGTAGAGAAGGAGTTAGAGATGCCCTGAGAGCCTGAGGTGAGGAGAATGAGGGGGTGAGGTTAGAGTGGGTCTTAATCTGCAATTTCAGGCCTTTTCATAGCATCCCAGACTGGTTTGGGTTGAAGGGACCTTAAAGCTCCTCCAGCTCCAACCCCTGCCATGGGCAGGGACCCCTTCCACTGGAGCAGCTTGCTCCAAGCCCCTGTGTCCAACCTGGCCTTGAGCACTGCCAGGGATGGGGCAGCCACAGCTTCTCTGGGCACCCTGTGCCAGCGCCTCAGCACCCTCACAGGGAAGAGCTTCTGCCTAAGAGCTCAGCTCAGTCTTCCCTCTGGCAGGTTCAAGCCATTCCCCTTGGCCTGTCCCTACAGGCCCTTGTCCCAAGCCCCTCTCCAGGTTTCCTGAATCCCATGAAACCCCATCCCCTCCCTTGTCCCACTCCTGGTTTTTGATGGGCTTGGAGACGGATGATACCCGAAGCTGTGCTGCAGTGTGACACTGCAAATGACCAACTAATTAGACAAAGAGGAGTGCAATGAATTGAGATTCCTCTTTATGGCTCTCAGACTGTTGGTAATCTTGAATTTGTTAATTGAAAATTGCTTTCTCTGTTTGTTGTTGGCCCTTTTTGTGGAGGGGGATGTTTCCTGCTGCTGGATCTGCATTAATGCACTTTGTACATTAGTGCCAGGCACATTTGTAATCGGCTGCCCTATTAGCGAACACTAATGAACTTACAAGTGCTCACAAATAATGAATAGAACGGCCTCCAATTGGGTTGAGGAATTTATTCACTGCCACACTTGCAGATTTTCCAGTCTTTAACCCAGCTTTAATTTCCCCCTTGCCTTTACCTTTCCTCTTCCTTCCCTTTCAGCCATGTGCTGGGGAGAATATGGGTCACAGGAAACACGCTGTCCATAAATATGTAGGGCTGCTCCACACTGGCTTTTCCCTTATCATATGTGGGGTAGGATTTGGCAGCAGGCTTAGTCTCTATGCTCCTCTTGTCTGTTAGCTGTTGGAGTTCTCCTAAGGCATAAGGAGAGAACCAACTTGGTTTTCTTTTCTATAATTCTTATATTTAAATATATATATACATTTAAATTAAACAATTCAGAGCAGCAGGATCGGTTTTCCAAGTGCTGCCCCTCGCTAGAGAGGGAACTCAAGCACATCCCTTTGTGTGCTTTCTGCAGCCCTGAAACTTCAGGCAGCTATTCTGCTGCTTCCCTCCCAACAGCACGTTGGGGAGGTACTTTGTGGTGAAAGAAGCAGCTCATCGGAGCCTGCAAGTCTCTTTACATACAAAAAAGCCTTGTCCTAAAGCCTTGTTTACTTACAACAGAAGCAGCAGTTCACAGCTCATCCATGGGTTTAAGGGACAGAAGATTCAGTGCAGTAGGAGCTGGTGGACCCGAGTTTGATGTCGTTTGGTTGCAGGTCTTTACATTGCATTACAATGGCCCTTTTCCATGTGTGGGGCAGGTACCTCGGGCTTATCTCAGGCTTCTGCAGCCTGTGAGTCTTGTGAAGGTTTGTCAAGAGGAAATATTCCTTGGGGCAGAAGCCAGCCGTGGTTTATGGGGGGAAACGGTAATGCTGGGCCATAACCAATAGGGTGTGTTGAAGAGCTGATCTGGGCCAACACATCTGGAGATGGACTTCCTAAATAAGAGGTTGGTCTCCAGGCAGCTTGGCGACCCCATCCCAGTGGAGTTTTGGTGCATGAAGTAAGCTGAGTTTGGGCTTCTGAATCTTAGGAGGGCAGGTTGGACCTTGAGGAAGGGTGGACGAAGGAGATGGTGTTGCACAAGGGGGTTTGTAGTGAGTTAAATCTGCTGCCTAAGTGGGCATGTGGAGTTGGGGCATAGACACCCTGGCTTCCGGGTGGGAAAAGGTGTCAGACCTTGCTTTTAGAGGGGGATGCTGGAACTTGCTTTTAGAAGGACTATGATGGTGGAGCCTGCTTTGCGGGGGTTGTGATGTTGGAGCCTGCTTTTGGGGTGCGGATACGGTGCCCGAGCCTGTTACTTGGGTAGCTAAGATGCTGGAGCCTGCTTTTAGGGGAATGGGATGATGAAGCCTTCCCTTTGGGGAGGGATGCAGGAACCCGCTCTGCGGGTACGGTGCCAGATCCTGGCTGTCGGTGGGCGAGGCCAGATCCCGCTGTCTCCCCGTTGGCCGGGGGGTGTCAACCCGCGCTTTCCGGGGCGGGGGAACGCCAAGGGTTAACGGGGCGGGCTGCGGGCGGGGCGGGCCGGGCTGCAGCCGCCTCCTGCGGCTTCGCCTGCGCCGGGCGCGGAGCAGCGGCGGGGAGCGCGGGCGGACCCCCCCCCCCCCCCCGCAGCCCCCCGGCCGCCACCATGGTGCAGAAATCCCGCAACGGAGGCGTTTACCCGGGGCCGGCCGCTGAGAAGAAGCTCAAGGTGGGCTTCGTAGGGCTGGACCCGGGCGCTCCGGACTCCAGCCGGGACGGAGCGCTGCTCATCGCCGGCTCCGAGAGCAGCAAGCGGGGCAGCATTCTCAGCAAGCCCCGCTCCGGGGTGTCGGGCAGCGGGAAGCCCCCGAAAAGGAATGCCTTTTACCGCAAGCTGCAGAATTTCCTCTACAATGTGCTGGAGAGACCGCGGGGCTGGGCTTTCATTTACCACGCATACGTGTGAGTAAAAGGGTGGGGGGTTAAAGCCGGCCGGGCGGGGGGGACCCCCGATCCGGTTCGCATCTGCCTCTGCTGTCCCTTTCCCAAATGAATGCTGAAGAGGAGGGATGCTGCGGGTGCAGGGAGGGGGTGCTGGGGCTTGATGGGTATGCTGACCGCCCCCCCCCAGCCCCGGGAGCAGCCCATCCGCTGCATCCCTGCTCCAGGTCCGGTTGGTGCCAGGGATGCAACCAGGATGTGCGGGCAATCAGCGGAGAGGGGATAAGGGAGGTGGATCTTCCGGAGGGATGCAATGCACCGGTCCCCTGCTTCCCCCCCCCCCCCCTCCATGCCCGCTCCTGCTTGCGGGGGAAGGGGCTGCTCATGCGGTCGGTGCAGCGGGAGCGATGGGTAGGGACTGTTCCTCCGTCTCGCTTGAAATCACCATAGCAATGCTGCGAGCAGAGGAACAAAAAGCTCTGCTCAGGCACTGTCTCTCCTTCCCTTCCCCCCCCATCTCCCACCTCTCCTTCTCCCCTTTCTCCCCCCGTCCAGCCCCATTGTGGCTGCTGTGGGGCTGGCGGTGGGGCCGGTGCTGTGGGGCTGCAAAGGGGTCTGGAGGTATTCCTTATATCCCCCTGTGGGAAGCGGCTGAACTGGAGATGTGTCTAGAAAGAAATGCTAATCAGCGTCTGGGGCTTCCTGGCCGCGCAGCGATGGAGCGGTAAACAAAGGAGCATCCCGGGGTGCACATTTCCCTTCCACCACCCCGGGTTTTGAAGGCAGAAATGGCCACCTCTCGGCCGCCGTTTGGCAGAAGGATGTTCATCTCTGAAGGCATTGCTGCAGAGGGAGAGCAGATGACTTCCCGTTGTTCGGAGGATTGCAAAGGGAGGGTCAGGATAGATTGCTGTGTTACTGCAACTCCCTTCCCTCTGGGACTTTCCACAGTCCCACCAGGCTCCTCTGCAGGGCTGGGCTCACGCTGGGGTGCTCCGTCCTTTGGTGCTGATGGGTTTGTTTTGTTTGTGGGCTTTTCACCATGGCGAAGGCCTCTGTCAGCCCCAGCAAGAGGATTTTTGGGGCCTTCTGTGGGGTTTTCCTCTTCCTTCCCCCCCCCCCCCCCTATTTTTTTGCTGTTATCGGGTAAGATGCTGGGATGTGCTTTCTGGTCCTCAGCCATTTTATACATGGAGGTCTTCCAGGGAGGTGTTGGAGAGGTGGAATGCTGGGTGGATGGAATGGGGGAATTTGCTGTGGGCTGCAGCAAGTTGGAGTCTTTCACATCATCATCATAGAATCATGGAATGGTTTGGGTTGGAAGGGGCCTTAAAGCTCATCCAGCTCCAAGCCTCTGTGTCCAACCTGGCCTTGAGCACTGCCAGGGATGGGGCAGCCACAGCTTCTCTGGGCACCCTGTGCCAGCGCCTCAGCACCCTCACAGGGAAGAGCTTCTGCCTAAGAGCTCAGCTCAGTCTCCCCTCGGGCAGGTTCAAGCCATTCCCCTTGGCCTGTCCCTACAGGCCCTTGTCCCAAGCCCCTCTCCAGGTTTCCTGCAGCCCCTTCAGGTACTGAAGGCTACTGTAAGTAAATATAATACAAGGAAATAGGAGAGGAGGGAGCATCTATAGAGCTCAGTCGCAGCTACAAAGAGGAGCGTGAAGTCCAACACTTATAGTTGGTTTGTGTTACAGAATCCTCCAGCCTCATGTGGAGGGCTGAATGCTCACATCATGAGCTGGGTGCTTGTCTGTGTGTGCACGAGGATGGGGATGTTGTGTGCAATGTGCACTGTATGCTGTTAAATACAGGTGCGACCCTGCCTTGGGACCCTGGGGTGGCAATGACCATGATGGCAGGGGCTGAAAGGCAAGTGGCAGGGGTAGCTCTGACTGCAAGGGCTGTATAAGCATCTTTGGCTTCTTCTTCTGAAGGCCCTTAGATCACCTTGGTGGGGATGCTCCAGTCTCCTGAACTATACATATCATAGGTTTAGCCTTGGTGGTTTGCTCTCTATTTAAAGAACTGAAGGATATGGTAAACATAGTCACCAGATATAAGCTTATAGACCAGTTACTTCTCTGTGCCTGGGTGAGCCTGGCATGGTGCTGCCAGATCTGTGTGTGCCTTAACAGGGCAGAAAGAGAATCATAAGTCTGTAATCCAAACCGACAGGACACATGAAATCTTGGTGACTGCTCATTCAAAGATGCAGGTGAAGATACTGGCTTAAGGTCATAAAGTTTGTATGGGAGAGCGGGAGCTCATGTCCCAGTGCCTGAGGCAGTGTCCTATCTGTGCTGCTGGGCTCCTGCTGTCTCCTCCTGCCCCAAACCCCATTTTGTGCCAAAGCCTTGAGCAGAAAAGCACCTTTAGCCTTCATACTGCAGGAGTGCGAGTCCTGAGGAAGACTGTGGATGAGGGAGCCCTGTCCTGCTGCTGTTTCAGCTCCCCCACCCTGACCCCATCTACCAGCACCCCTATTTCTCTGCTCCTTTTAGTCACAGGGTCTTCCTGGCATGAAGATTTAGGATCTATTTCCAGTGTGAATGACTGTGAGCCTGCAAGGTTGGGTTTTACCTTATAGAGATGCTTGTAAGCTGCATATCTAGGTGCGGAGCTGCTGTGCTGCTCACACAGCCTTTCTGCACCTGAACCCCAAGACACAAACCATGGAGAGGCTTCCAGCATGGAGATGTGGTAATAAATGAGAGGTGCCTCTGCATAGGTACCTCTGACAAATGCCTGTCTGCAGAGGCCCATCTCCAGGCTGGGTGATTGATGCGCTGCCTGGAGATGTTTGTGCAAGTTGCATTTGTTTCCAGGGCTGCATCCTAGATGCAATCCATCTGATTTTGATCCCCACCTCTTCCTGTTGTTATTCGTTCCCCTTTGCACTGTTTCATGCATAAACCAGGGAAATTCAGAGCAACTCCCACCCTTCCACACCCATTACCATGGTCTCATCTCAGATGCTGCCGCTGCAAAAGCTCCGTGAGCGGCAATGTTTTCTACCTCTGTGTTGTGATTCATGTTCCTACTGAATAGCTCTTCCTACACTGACACAATGGGGTGACCTGCTCATGGGAGCTCTGTGTGTATGCACATTGTATATATGTATTTTGTACAACCCCATGGGCAACACAACCTGGTGGGTTCCATGTCTGAGCCTGGCTCCCAGAGGTCTGAGCCTTCCCTATCTCTCATTCTTGCCCAGTATGTCTCTCTGCACCTTCCTTCTCTGTTTTTCTCCCTTTTGTTTGATAGAGGCTGAGCAATGCAGCACGTGGCCTCATTCTGCTCAAGGTTCAGCTGAAACTTGGAAAGTTGAGCCCTGCTGGAATAGCAGGCCAGGCCTTTGTGCGGGATGCAGCAGCACTTGGATCTCGAGGTAGTTCTCTGCACAGGGAGGCCTTTTGCTTCCAAAATGCTTCCATTTGATTTCTTTCAATCATTTATCTCTTTTCTTTGTAGTCCTTTCACATGGGTTATTGTAACCTGTCCTGTGCTGAGTTTGAAGTGCTGGGATACTGGAAAGTGACTTGTGTCCTTACTAGCATCTTATTCCTGGAGATGAAGATGGCATGCTGTGTTCTGTGCCCGCCCAAGGTACTTGCACTGGGCACCCCCATAGCCCAGTGCATCTGGAGGCACATTTGCTCATCCCCTGAGTGAGCTGCTTGGGTTTGGTCCCTGGGCTGAAGCTGAGGGTGATGGATTTGGGGCAGTAGCAAGAAAACAGCCTTCATGGAGGCACTTTCAAAGCTGTGCTTATGGAGCAGCACGATTCCTGCATTTCCTACTTGGAATTTACAACCCCAATGCGTCTTTTTAACTGTGTTAAAAATAGTTTGGGTGCATTTTTCATCTGCATTCGGTGCACCGTACATCCAGTTAATTAAGCAAGTGCATGGAATTAAATTATAATAAGGAAGGACATTTCCTCCGTGTCTAATTCTATTAAAATTTTCCTTGTGCCATCCCCATCCCATTTGTTCCTCCCTTTTAACCCAGACAGAAGCCACCTCTCTCTCTCCAGGACATCTCTCTGCACTGCCCTCATCCTGGTGTGGCCATGGTGGTAGGAGGATGGAGAGTTGATGCAATTGCATCCCTGAAGGTCCAAGGTTTCTCAATGGCTCTCTAGTGAGTCCTTCCACTTGTCAGGGACTGATTAAAACCATGGTTATCTCATGTAGATCCATTCCTGGATAATCTTTTGCATCAGATTGAGCAGCTCTGGGAACATCCAGCCTTTTTTCTGCTTCTTTGCTTGGGTTTTTAGGCAGTTCTTGTGTTTTGTTTTGTTTTCCACTTGTGTTTTTTATACTTGTTTCATGGCATTTGCTCATTAGGGGTAAATTTAGCTTGTCAGTGTCATTTATCCGTCCCTCAGCACTGAGGGGTGGTGGTTCATGGCAAGCCCTTGCCTACAGACAGGGATGCTGCTGGCAGCAATGATAACACCCAACTCGGCCCATGCAGCAGTGACATGTAGGGACCTCCTGGTTGAGTGTATAGGATGAAAGGGCTGATACAGGTATCCCATGCTGGGCTTTAACCTGGTGGCTGTGTCTGCCCTGGGGACGCAGGGACACCTTCACAGTGGGATGCCTCACGAGCTCCTCTCCAGCTGCTTAGTCAGAGCTTGGTGGGAGCAGCCTCATTTCAGTCGCTTTAATGTGTCGCGTTCCAGTCGCCACATTCACCCCACGCTGACATTAAGGAAATGAAAAACAAGTTGACCTCCTTTTTGTGCTGCAACACACCTCAACCAGGTGAGTTTTGCTATAGCTTTGTTTATTATAAGAGGGAATAACCCAAAAAACAAGCCCCCAATTCCTATACTAAAGGGAAAATTGCATCTTTTTAAGCAAAAAAATCAGGTTTCTTGACTTTTTTCAGCGCAGCAGAGGGAGCAGACATTAGTAGGGTGATACACTGGGATTTATTTTGCAGGGCACAGAGTTTGGCATCAGTGGGGCTTACCAGGATAAAAAGCCCTTAAGTTTGGTGTTTGG